GTTTCAAAATAAACGGCTCAGTTATAAAACTAACTCTGAAAACTTATGTGTCCAGAATTATCGTATTTACTCGGAATATAAATAATCTTAAATGCTTTATTGATAGATAATTTAAAGTTGTAGATGTAACCATGCGTAATCGGAAATAATTGACAAATGGAGTTAGGCCACTTTCAAAATAAACAGCTCATATATATAGGTATATTTAATAAAACAAATAAAAATTGTAAGCTCACCTTGAATACTTCCCAAGTTGCACTGAACGGAAGTACAGCCAAACCGACCAATAAATCGGCAACTGCCAAACTTACGATGAACATGTTGGTAACGTTTCTTAGTTTGCTCGTGTAATATACAGCTAATATAACGAGAACATTACCGAGGACTACCATCACGTTGACTATTGCCAATGTGATCAAGGTTAACAGGATCCATGGGCCGGACCACTCAACGCCCTCGTACAAAGCGTTGCATGCACTGCCGTTCAATTCTCGCATTTTAATTCGACTCTGACACCTCGCGATCAGAATCTTCCTTTTTCGCGAATACAACAGTACGATGATCAAAACTATTCAAGTTATTCGTAGGTTTGATCGATAATTTTTCAAAAACACCAACACCATGAACCCCCATTCTCGAGAAATTCATTTCCTTGTTTTTTTTAGTTGACTTACTCTCTCTCTCTCTTTTTATTTTTCTTTTTTCAACGTGAATTTTCTATTGCTTTCATACTTGTGCATTATATAAGATTCTTTCTTTCTCTTTTTATATTTCTATTTATTTTACCTAGTAAAGATAATCTTTTTTTTGCTAGAACACGTCAATTTGTTCGTAAAAGTTAGAAGGAAGAACGAGAATCCAAATGGTTTCAACGTAAATCCTCCCTTTTTCTTCTTCTTCTTCTTCTTTTTTCCTTACTGTAGACAAATCCTTATTTTCTTCATCTTTTATCATTGTATCAACATAATTTATTTGATCCTGTTTATATAATCGCGTTCATTATTATAATATAAATATTAATGATGATTAATTTATTATCGTCAATGTTTTTTTCACTGTCAATCAATTTACAATAATATTCTTTCAATATTGTTCACACACCCCTTCTTTCCACGACTTTATTTTTCACTTAATAAATATCACACACCTTTTCTATATTTATATTAGTTCGTATAGTTGTTGATGATTAACAAACAAACAAAAAAATCACGAGAAAAGAGAGAGAGAGAAAAAAATAAAAAAATTTGTTGGATAACGTTTTATAATTAGACTAAAAAAATGAGTTAAACAAAATCATTGAAATAATGTATTCATCGTTCGTAATTCGACAATATTTTTTCGAAAATTCGATATAAACGTTGATACAACAGGAATCGTAATAATGATTTCATTAAAAATTAATTTCATTGGATAATTATTGTTTTTACTTGTCACTGATGCCATTAAATTCATTAATATTATTATCATCATCATCATCATCATCCCCATCATTGTCATCATCATCATAATCATCGTCATCATCAATTCAAAGTCCCATATTTCCATTTGAAGTACTACCCTTGCAAATAATAACCAAAGAAAAATTCACTATGCAGGAATTTTTTTCGAATAGGACCAAAAAAAAACTTCGAAATTGAAGGGGAACGGGGACGGGGACGGGGACGAGAGGGGGGAAAATATTTGTTGAAATAAAACGTTCCCTCGCGATTTAGATAAAAGATTCTTCACTTTATCGATCTTATCTTTTCTTTTTAGTGATTTTGATCTCCCGACGGGGAGCCTCCCCACTTTAAATCGATATTTCAATACTTTTTTCACTCTTATCTTTTTCCTTTTAGTTTTTTTTTTATTCCCCGCAAGCTTCTCACTATCTTTTAGACTATGTGAAGAAAACTAATCCTTTCTTTCTTTCTTTCACTTTGTATTTGTGTGTATATGTGTGTATGTGTACGAGTATCAAGCTTTTTCTTTCTCACCGACAATAACAAACCTTCATCGAGAAAGCAAGTATAGAATAGTAGAGAGTGTCACGTTTTATCACGAAAGCTTTCGAGCTTTTCGCAGATCAAATCGAATTCGGTATACCCCCCACCCCCACCCCCCTATGAGTGTGACAGAGAAGAAAAGAATAAGCTTGCATTTTATTCTTTCTATTTGTTTCTTTCTTTCTTTATCACAAGGTATCCTATCTCACTCTATTTCTTGTTCTATTTTTCAAAGGGGAACAAAAATGAACTCGGATTTAAGACGCGAATCAAACGACGAACCAATAAGAAGGTTATCACCCACCCACCACCCACTACAACCATCATCACACTAACACTAGCACCACTAACTTCTGTTACACAGTAAGCACTTATTCTTCTTCTTTTTATTTTTTTTTTCTTCTTCTTCTTGTTTTATTTTCTACAACTTCGACGACAATGTTGACAGCAACTCTGCTTCTTTTTCTTTTTTTTTTTTTTTTACTTTCGCGTCAGTTGGCCTTCCACGCGAACGGACATGTCCTCCATCCCTTCCCCCCACCTCCTCTTCCACCCCTTCCTCTTCTTTCTTTTACTACCCTTTCTTTTATGGTGTAGTATTCTTCCTCGTTTCCGAGAATCGTTGAACCGATATTCCTCCTGTTGTTACCTTCCTTCAGTTAACCCATCTCGAGCCCTTTTCTTTTCTTCCAAGGGATCCATGTTGGAAGAATATTTGATCTTTCTTCTATGGAACTGTATAAATTATAATATTATTTTTTTTTTATGATATATTATACCCCAACACACTTGAGTAACAAATGTTATTATGAAAAGTATATAGAAAATAAATGTAATTATCAATCATTATCATTATCATTATTATTACTAAGTTTAATCTTAGGGAAGGTGTAATAACAAATATCACCGCGTTGGCAGAACATCATTTTAAAACAGGACATATTTTTAAATTCGACGAAAGAAAAATTTTCGATAAAGAAGATAACTGGTACAAAAGAAATATCAGTGAAATGTACCATATAACGAATAATAATACAGTTAATTTTAGAACCGATACCAATAATCTAAACAGCACATCATATAACGACATTTTAAAATTTAATTACCACAACAAGACACGTAACAGAGGTTACAATAATAATAAAGACATCTAGATTAGAATATAGGTTGGAATAAATGGAACTAAAAGAATAATTTCGATATCAAAAATGAAAAAAATTAATGCAATTATGAAAAATTGAATAGAAAATGGAAATCGAGCGTGGGTTAATGGGTTGAATCCACATTCATATGGAGAAGGCTTTTCTCGATCTTGTTGAACTTTTATGGAAAATATAATATTAATTATTATGAAAATTAAAGTTAAAATAATTGGAATAATAGATAAAATAATAATAATAATAATTATTTATATTATTAATTAATAATTTTTTTAATTGGAAGTTAAATGTAATAATTATATACTATATAAATAAATAAAATTTTTAAATTAATTTTAAAAAGATCATCAATAAATTCAAGTGTAGACAAATAATCATACAATATCTACAAAATGTCAATATCAAATTGCTGCTTCATAACCAAAATGATGATTTTTAGAAAAGTGATTATTAATCATTCGTGGTAAACAAATAATTAAAAATATTGTACCAATTATAACATGAATTAATAGAATAGTAGTGTTCGAAAAGTTATGGTAGGATAACGTTTTTAAAAATTGATTCTATATATAAGATAGTGAAAACTTATGACTGTAATAAAAATGATGTTATATTGACTTATGAACATAACTATCAAGGTAAAATAACGCTATGAATTGTAAGTTTTTTTGGTATTTGTATAAAAAAAATAATATGTCATAATAAAAAATTTTAGTTGCTGAGTAAGTTCAACGGATAAATGTATTGTTCATCTAAATTAAACCTGTCCAAAAAACAACTTCCCCAAGCTTAAACTTAGTAATAATATTAAAAAATTTTGGATAAGAAAAAAAATCTTTATTATATTAACATTATCATTATTATTTTTCTAATCTTTGAATCATGTATAAATAAATAAATAAATAAATAATATACAGGGTGTGTCATACGCGTAGCTCGAACCGATCATATCTTTTAAATGATTAATAATAATAATAAATAAATGTGATATCAAATTTGTGGGTGCAATATTATGTGCAATGATGCGTCAGAAAAATGCAACTTTATTTTCTTTTCTTTTTAAGAATGGTAACTCTTAAATTTTTGATTGTAACGATTGATACACTTTCATTTAAATATTAAAATTATTTGCAATTAAAATTAATTCGAGATATTTCTATGTGTCATATTTAGAAAAAAAAAAAATAAATGAACAATTTTATAATTCAATTAAGAATTTTTCTGATATGCAACGATGCATATAAAAATCAATGAAATGATTTTGTAGTCTCGATCTTATAACATTTAACTTCGATCAATAAAATTTTAATCTATTTTCAAGCAGTTTCAACGATACAACCTGTTCCAGCAGTTTCATAAGACATTTTTTATATAAACTTTCATAATAATAATAAAAAAAAAAGAAATACAAAATTATATATTAAATTCAATACCTTCTTTCCGTTTCTTTCTTCCCCGTTTATAATAATTTCTTTATCCTTCTTTATCTTGATATACTTTTATTTCATTTGGTTTCATTTAAAATCAGTCTTTTGTAAAATGATTTTAACGTGTGTAACACGTTAACGGCATAGACGATTTCTATTAGTCAAAAATCACAGCCAATCGAGACAGAGACAGAGAGAGAGAGAAGAGACAATGTGTGTGTGTGTATGTTTAATAATAATAATAATAATAATTAATAAATAAATAGAAAGAAAAAAAAAAAGAAAATTAAAAAGAGCAGCCAAGGGAATTCCCTTTTTTTTCTTTTTTCAATCTCTCTTCCTCCTCTTCCTCGTTCGTCCCTTCTTCCCTTTCCTTATGGTGTCCAACGTTTATGGTAGACGAGTTCTTACGATATTCAATGGATTCTCGATATCTGAGCAATCTGAAGCGGATTTCTTTTCTGATGCGCTTCGCTCGCATTATTTCGACCAATCCTTCTTCACCTTCACCCCCTCCCCCTCCGAACCCTCGACCACCTCTTCCTCCACACCCTTTCCACGACCTTTATTCCCTCCTAGGAAATCCTCTCGAAGTGTACGAAGCGCATTTCCAATTATGCAACCTCGCCTATTCTTTTCTATAACAACCCTCAAACAGTCCTTCCTGATTCTCACGAGATCACCTGGAACGAATATAAATTTTTGTTTATCATTTAGATTCATTTATACATACAATTATACAATTAAAAAAATTGTTGTAGTTATATAATTTATAAATATAAAATAATATAAT